GGCGTGGCCCTGTGGTTTTTTCCATCTTTCGGATTTTCCACGTAAAAATCATGGTGTTCATTTTCTTTTCTGTTTGTGTACTGAATATTCGTGCAACGCTCAGACGTGAATTTGTAAACTCTACCGCCGCGTATATTCTAGCCCACAACATATATATATCAACCTAAATAAAGTATCATAGGATTCAATGATTCATGCATGTAGGTCCCAATTTTTATTCCTATAAATACTGTGAGGGACAGTTATATTGTACTTGAAAGTTTCTTCTAAGCTTTGTTTTATTTTTTCAATGAGCGTGTGTGTACTTGAGAATTTGAAAATATTTGGTGATTGTTCATTCATTGTGTATTAGTGAATTTAGAATGAAATTTAGGATGAAAATTTGATTATATTATAGTGCCTTAGCTAAAAAATATTCATAGATTTGCTCCTACAATAATTACATATACAAATTATGACTTAATTTTTTCTTAATGAGTGGGGCTTCTTTACATTAAAACAAAATGAATACAACATATTAATATGAGAGAAAAGAGGTGATTTTATTCATTAAATAAATAATTTATAAAAAAAAATGTAAGAAAGAATGCTCATAAGCCCTTCCCATTACCCTAATATGCTAGCTCTATTAGTAAAAGGCATGATTAATTCATAGCATTAAGCTAAGGATAAATATGATGACTTATAAAGTAACTATAAAGGATATGAAGTATCAAAAAATAGAATATTAAATCTATGTGATTCAATTTAAGGCTTCGTTTGGGACAATTTTTTTACTGCTCCGTTTTAATAGTTTTTGTACTAAAATTTCGTTTTTAGAAACAGTAAAATAGCCGTCCCAAACGAAGCCTAATTAAGTCAGTGTAAGCTATGATCGACTGCATAAGATAACAATTTCCATTACATTAGAGAAAAATAGACTATGAAAATAGCATATTTCAATATTATTCTTCTCATTTTCTTATCTCTCTTGATTCCATAAGACTCAAATAATAATTTAAAACAAAAAGATAGATGTTGCTAGGGAATGAATAAAGGCCATAAAAAATGGGCTTGATATACCACATATTTAATGCCAATTGTTAGAGAAGGAACAAAGAAGACATAAGTAAGGCTTCATACTATAATATTCAAACCATTTTCAACTAGAAAAAAAAAAATCTATGAGTAAGAGTTAACTACTTAATAATAATTTTAATCAACAAGATTTTAAGATATCATATATTAAACTAAACTCAAAGCCTCATTTATAATAACACATTCATAAAGAAGAAACTTCATGAAGTAGTTTACCTCACAACATGATGATGATCTCGATAGTAGCTTACAACCCTTCTTTCAAATTTGAAGAAACCAAGAGGTCCACCTCTCTTAATTTCTACCCATCAAGCACCATATACCTATAAGATATATCTTCTTCTGTGCATGCATAAGAGAATATCATAATTGAGAGAGTATTTCTCTATCAAGCACTTTTTACAAAACAATAACTAAGAGATCAATTTCTTTGTGATATCTGTGCACACTCAACCAAAGGTCTCATGCACACATCTCAAGGCAAAACCGCAAACAAAAGCACACACATGCATGCAAGTGAAAAAAATACGTCTAATTTTTTTTATGCAAAACACATTACAATCAGTGGCGGAACTACATGGAGATACTCAAAATTTATTATCCTGCAAAGCCTACAACAAGCCTTCCCCTCTCAATCTCTCATGCAATGGTTCAAACAAGAATAACTCTACCTCCTTATCTTTCCCTGCTCTCTCATTTGTATTATGAGCCCATGCCGTAATGAAATTGAAGTTTGCCATCCCATCAAATATTGAATGGCTTGTCCCCACTCCCACTGAATACCCTCCTCAACCAAATCTAGTCACCTGCTTGGAGAGAGATAACTATGCACATTATGAAGATTTATATGTAGTGAAGAGAAAGAGAGAGGGCATGTGAAGATTTGACCTTGTATTACTAATAAAATATTTATCTAATATAATACTATTATAGTAAGATACTAGTTGTTTTTCCCCTCTCAAAAGAGAGATTGGTTCCACCCCTTATTACAATTAGTTTCAACGCGGTTGAACTTGCAATTAGAATATGCTATCTTAAGATTTGACACAGTGCAAGTCATAAAAACTTCAAATAATATTCAGTTAAGCTAACAACAAAAATGCAAGTATGTCATCATTATATTATTGTTAAGACTTCTTTTGGGACGGCTTTTTCACTACTTTCTAAAGAAGCTTTTTAGTTAAAAAAATTAGATATTTTTGTACTAAAAAGTTGCATTAAAAACACTAAAAAGCAGCCCCAAATAAAGCCTAAGTAAAATAATTTAAATGTCCTTAGCATCAGCCATCCTTGAGATGATGAGACCACCAACAAGCTACACCTCCATAAGAATGCAGATTCTGATACATTAATATAGCCAATCTGAAGCAAAAGAAACCTTTGTTCGTTAGAGCATCAAAGCGACAAAGCATGTAAGTTCTAGCCTTGATGGAGTAGAAGAACAATAGCTTGAGAAGAAGAATATAAGGCCAGATACGAGCTTCTTCATATAATTTAATTAAGTGTCTTAGGCATTTTAATCTTGTTTATATTAAAATCATGTCTTAATTTTCATTATTTCTTAAGAAAAAAATTAATTAAAAATAAAAAAGCCAGTTCAAGGAAAGGAGTCCAAATATGGTGGACAATGGACAAAGTAAACGCTGATCTGATCATTGTTTACTTAATCTAAATTAATTGTAAAAAAGCTAAAATAATCAACTGTAAAAAATAAATACTTAAAACCAAGAAATTATAGAATAAGAACAAAAAATAACACTTGGGATTATTTTTGTCTTCTAATTTAATTAATTTTTCTTCTTGTTCTACATAAAATTTATCATATAAAACAATTTTTTTTCCCACCAACTCCAAGAAAACTTCAAATGTACTTATAGCCTTGGATTGATTATCTAAAATAGGAAATAATGCAATTTTTTTTGTAATTATTGACCATCTCAAATTTGTTTGTCTTCAACCATTCAAACTAGTCATTGTTATAGACTTTCACAAATAAGATCTTTTCAAAAATAATAATAATAATAATAATAATAAAGACTTGGCAATAGATAATGATTTTCTTTAGTTGGTGGTAAGAACATTGTGAAGCTCATTGCTACAAAAATTTAAATTTTTATATTAGAAAGATGCTTTAAGAAGTAGAAAGAAAGTCATCCCAAACGATTCTTATTGCTTTGTAAAATTGTTGTAGTACAGTAAAGAAGATAACTCCTTAAAGCTATTATAGAAAACAACATCTTATTATAATTGTTTTTTTTTAAATATGAAAAAGCAATAATTATTGTTACGATTTGAAAAACAAAGTAATAAAAAAACTGTCGAAAACAACCCTCATTTGGGGAATTGAGCTTTTATCTCTTATACGAGGAATGCAAGCCAAAAGGATAACTTGCTGTGTTTTGATTCTTATTTTTCAAGGAATTAAGGAATTGTACAAAACATTCAATGATAGTAAAAAATAGGACTTCAAATGAATTGTGTATATCCAAATATTATCTTATTAAAGCTTGTTTATTTTTTTTCTTGAGTTTGAATATGAATTGAATTTTAAAATTGGGTGATTTACATACATACCCCTTTATTTCATGCTATTTACTTATCTACCACCTAAAATTTTAATATTATACGCCTACCACCCATAGAATAAATATGTGTGCATAAAATGAAATATTAAAGTTTATAAGGTGGTATGGATAGTAATAATAAAATATATGAGTGATATATTTAATATTAAAATTTTATATGAGTGGTAGCTATGAAATATTAAAATTTTGAGTGTTAAATATATAAATAAAATAAAATAAAGAGGCATGCATGTAAATCCCCCAAACAATTTTTTTTTTTATTTTTGAGTTCAAGGCATAATTGAGCCAAATTATTTTTATTTTTATGCTAACTATTTAAGCATCTATGTTTATTGCTAAATGTAAATAAATTTATGAGTTTTAATTTAAGTTGATATATATAATTAGCTAAATATTATTTGTTTTAAGTTGGTGAAATTCAAATATTTATCAAAAATAGTTTAAATCCATATATTTAACTCTTTGTTTTATATTTACATCATATTTCTACCACAAATAACATACATAATTTATTAAATTAATTGCACTGGATATATATATATATATATACAAAAATTGATATAAGAACTATTAATAAAAAAAAAATGTAATCATATAATCCCTAATGAGCATTTTATCGACCTATTAGTGACATGTTTATCGAATAACAAACAAGTCTGCTCATGCACATAAATGAACGAGTATATCAATGTTCAAACTTTTCTATTTATATATTTAATTAACTTTTACAACTCCGTTCATACATGTTCAATTAATTACTTAGACTTTGTTCGGGACAGCTGTTTTCTAGCTTGTTTTATAATGCTGTTTTCTAGTAAAAAAAATTCTTGAACTAAAAATATTTGTAATAGAAGCTACTTTAAAAAATAATAAAAAAGCTGCTCCAAATGAATCATTAAGTGAACAAGCATCAAGTTCTTCAGCAAGTGCACTTATTAGTTCAAATAATAACTACAAAAATAGTCAATCTTCAAAAAAATGCCAAATTTCTAATAAGTTCCAAAGAACCACACAAAATTTTGAAATGAGAATATTTTCAACTATCCTTAGCTCACCCATATCCAGAGAACAAGCCGTAGACAAACTAGCAGATGCTCACATCAAGAATTAAGTCACCATCACCTCTTTCTGAAGTAGTCACGCATAGCATGTATTATTGTATTATTACCATAAATAAATAAATAATATATTAATATCTGATTTTTTATTATCAAATCAGAATGAAAAAATAAATAATTAATTAAAATTAAAAGATAAATGCTCATATTTAAACAGAAATTGAAACAAATAAAAGCTCAAAAACCAGTAACAAGTTTCTGAAGCTGTTTGTATTTCAGTTCAAATATCTGCATTTTCTTCTAATTTACAACAAACTCTGCGAGTTCTGATGAAGAGTACTGTACAGAGAAGTGTTCCCAATGAAGAAACAAAACCCCAAATGATGAAGGTTTTGTTATAGCAGTCAGTTCCTATACAACTATTGCTTCCTCCCTGCCTTTGATAAAGAAGACCGGCCAAGTAACCAAAGAGGAAAGATGCAATTGGAATGTTTGTTATAATAATGTTGTGATTTATTGCAAAATTTTTGGTTCCAAATAGTTCAGTTGTTGCAGAGACAGCAATGGAGGTTATTGACCCTGAGCAAGCTCCAATGACTGCAGTGCTAGCGTATAAAATGAGATTACTTGAGTTGAGGAGGAGGAAGAAGAAGGCAGGCACCATAGGAACCATCATAGTTGCCATAATACCTGGGCTTGAATCAGTGTATCCCTTTCTGCAAAGTTGGAAGAAGAAATAATGCATGAGCATAAATTTTTATTTATTTATATATCACTTTAGTATTAAAATCACATCAAAATACATGCGTGATAGTAAATATATAAAAATTTTATAATATGCATGTAAACACTGCTGATTATTATTATTTTCATATATGACTGTAAAGATGTGAATTGAATTATTATTAATATTTTTATAAGTGTTTAGTATGAAATTGTCATAAAAAAAAGGCATTTATATATAATCATTTCTTAAATTAAATTACCTATAAATTATATTGAAATCAAACACCAAATGCGAAATTATGAAGTACATAAAAAGGTTAAAAATAAATAATTTTTTTTCTTTAGAGAACATATATAGTACTGAACTATGCGAAATGAAGAAGAGAGAGACGTATGACAAACTCAAATAAAAAAAAATCAAAGCTTACTTTGATAAGTGATATTCCATTAAAGATGGCATCAGCCTTCCAAAAAAGCCAAAAGAAGAAGCCAACGAGACAAGAGAAGTTGCATTAGAGAGCCCACGAGACTCTGCAATCTGTCCCAAGTTATTCAGAAACACCATTCCAACTGTTGCTCCGAACATATAACTGAAGAAATACAGCCAAAACTCCATCTTTCTCATCATCACCTTGAAACCAACTTCTTCCTTCATTTCACCCTTTAATGCTTCCTTTCTTCCTTCTCCTCCTCCTCCTCCACCTTCCTCAACACTTAGCTCATAAACTTTCTTCACCTTATCCCAACTCCTCCCCTTAAACATGGCATAAACAGGGATGATAAGTGCTGGGGAAACAAGAAGAAGAGCCATACTGATCACAAGTTCTCTTGACCCAAACCAAGTTGATACAGGACCAATGCTGCCAAGAAAAGAACAAGTTCCTGTTGCAATAGTTAACACAAACATAACCATAAAAGCTCCATGTTTTTCTTCTTCTCCTGTGTTCAAATCTTCTCTAATAACAGGTGAAGTAACAACAGCAACAAGAAGAGGACAAACTGCATTTAGAAGCAGATAAGCCTTAGCTTTGTTTTCAGGCTGGAAGATTGCATCAGCTATGTCAGAGTATACTTTAGCGCTCAAACCAACAAAACTGGTTGAGATTCCTACAGCAATTCTGCTGTAAGAAGAGAAGTTTCTGATGCAGATGAGATAGCAAACAGTGTTAATCCAGCATATGCCATTGCCTGATAGAGCTGTGAGAAGGAACACTTGCCAATATGAGAGGTGAGTGATTTTTTGTGTTAAGAAGAGGTATTGGAGGCCATAGCCAAGAAGACTGAAGGCTGTACCAATGAAGAGGACGAGTCTGAGAGGAAGATAGGTGACTGCGAAGCCGGCAAGCCAACTGAAGAGTTTACCGGCATCAGAAGCAAAGGCCAGGTTGTTGAGCTGGACTTGGGAGATGGAGAGGAGTTGTTTCAGCTGTGAGGAGTAGACAGGGAAGTCTGTATTGGCTCCATTGATAGTTTGGAGCCATATGGTGGCTACCAGACTGAGCCATTGGAGGGAGGAAGGAGAAGGCATGGTGGCCGGGTTTGGTGAGGCCTAGCTTTGGGAGCTATAATGGTGGGTTAGTTTATAAGGAAAGATTGTGGTCTTTTATTGTTTGAGGTGGTTGTAGTTGTCAACTACTTATAAAAAATTATAGGATTATTACGAAAAAAAAAAAATTATTTAAATAATTTTTTAAAAAAATTTGTTTTTGAAAAAGTATTTTTTTTAGAGCTAGCAAATTCTTAGAAAATTTATTATGAAAAGTTATTTTTATCGAAAAAATTTGAAAGTAATAAAAAATATATATTAAAATAGACCTATGTGTGTCAATAAATGATCTGATCTGTCGATCCGATCTGTAAAAATTCAGTTTCGAATTGACTTGTTTAATAATAGGGTCAGTTCGAGTCTAAAATTTCGACCAATTTATTAAATGGGTTGTGTTTGAGTTGACCAAAAACTCATTTTCAATTCGAAGATGAACAATTTAATATTTTTTCTTAAATCCTTTTGCTAATGGATATGATTTTCTTATTTTTTTATCAAATAACCTAAAGTTATAAGAAAAAAAAAACAACCAAAATGGATTAATGGGTATAATTTAGATCACTTGAGTTGCTAGCAGGTTATGTTTGAGTCAGTCTTTTTGACTTGTTTATTAAAAGGATAAGATTCGGATCGATTAGACTCAGGTCAGACCCGAATCCGACCCATTAATCTATTTTGAAAATCCTAAATAGAACTATGATTATTAAAACAAAAACAGAACTATGATTATTCAGAAAATAAAGTTATATATAAATAAATTTTTTTGAAAGTTGATATATATTATAGATTCCTTTGAAAAATTGAATAATTTTTTTTTTAAATTGATATATAAAGTTATAATAAATATTATTGTAAGAAAAATAATTTGCATCAGATAGTTTTAAAATAATAAATATTATTGTTCATAATAATAATAATAATAATTATTATTATTATTATTATGAACAATAATATTTATTATTTTAAAACTATCTGGTGCAAAGTATTTTTCTTACAATAATATTTATTATAACTTTATATATCAATTTAAAAAAAAAATTATTCAATTTTTCAAAGGAATCTATAATATATATCAACTTTCAAAAAAATTTATTTATATATAACTTTATTTTCTGAATAATCATAGTTCTGTTTTTGTTTTAATAATCATAGTTCTATTTAGGATTTTCAAAATAGATTAATGGGTCGGATTCGGGTCTGACCTGAGTCTAATCGATCCGAATCTTATCCTTTTAATAAACAAGTCAAAAAGACTGACTCAAACATAACCTGCTAGCAACTCAAGTGATCTAAATTATACCCATTAATCCATTTTGGTTGTTTTTTTTTTCTTATAACTTTAGGTTATTTGATAAAAAAATAAGAAAATCATATCCATTAGCAAAAGGATTTAAGAAAAAATATTAAATTGTTCATCTTCGAATTGAAAATGAGTTTTTGGTCAACTCAAACACAACCCATTTAATAAATTGGTCGAAATTTTAGACTCGAACTGACCCTATTATTAAACAAGTCAATTCGAAACTGAATTTTTACAGATCGGATCGACAGATCAGATCATTTATTGACACACATAGGTCTATTTTAATATATATTTTTTATTACTTTCAAATTTTTTCGATAAAAATAACTTTTCATAATAAATTTTCTAAGAATTTGCTAGCTCTAAAAAAAATACTTTTTCAAAAACAAATTTTTTTAAAAAATTATTTAAATAATTTTTTTTTTTCGTAATAATCCTATAATTTTTTATAAGTAGTTGACAACTACAACCACCTCAAACAATAAAAGACCACAATCTTTCCTTATAAACTAACCCACCATTATAGCTCCCAAATATATATATATATATAATTTAACAAGAGTTAAATAAGGTTCAAATAAAATTTGGTCAAGACTGAGACCATATTCGATAAAGATTCCAAATTTTTTCAATTATGTTTAACCCTTATTTAAATTTTGATTCAAAGAAATGTTCAATCATAGGTTAAATAATGATTAAACGGGGTTTAAATAAGATTTGAATCGAATTCAATCAAATTCTGGATAGGGTTTGATGAGGATTTGAATAAGGCATTGACAAAATTCTAATAAGGCTCTATCATGCTTTGCATAAAATTTGAATAAGGCTCCTGCACGGTTCGAATAGGGTTCTGACAAAGTTTTAACAAAGCAGATAAAACATAGTGTAATCGAACGGCTTGAGCAAGTCAGATTGCACGATTAATACAATAGAGTACAATCATAGCAGATATAACGTTGATATATCATCAAAAAATTATCTTGATTGGGGCACAAATCTTGAGGCAAAATCAAGTTAGAAATTTCAAAAATTAAATTGGAGATCATATGAATTTCGTTTTCAACAAACTTATAGTCGAACTGAACGTCTCAGAATACGAACCAAACGAAACCAAATTTGCTCAACCTGAACCCAAATGAGTCCAAACCAAAGACCGGAAGCGCATTTGGAAGGTTCAAACTATAATTTGGATTACCAAACGATTTCCAAAAGTGACATACTTATTGTTGAATCTAGCGGCTCGACGAGATGAATCCAACGAGCCCAAAATCGCCAAATTTTTGATATCATTAATACATTCAAATGTCAAGTAAACGGTCTATGATAGGGAAATCAACATCGACTGTCTATTCAAATCATTCCCAACTTGTCCTGGATCTCATCCTTATTTATTGGTTAATTGGTCATGTCACTGTCTGAAAATCATAAATGACCCCTCATTCTTCATTAGAAGGAGGAAGAAGAAGCTCAAGCAAGAAGAGAAGTAAGAGAAAAAAATAGAAGGAAGATTTCTCTCGCCAACAGACTCCTCATCGACCACCTCCAGGCTAGTGACCGACACCGGACTTCCCGTCACCAGACTTGCCTCGGACTTCTACCCGACGTTGAACTTTTATCCATCTCCGGACTTTCATCTGTCTCCGGACTTTTTCTCGTCAGACTTCTACTTGTCACCAAACCTCTGCTCGTCATCAGATTTCTACACAATGTCAAACTATCGTTCGTCGTCGAACTTCTATCCGTCGACATCAGACTTTTATTCGTCAGACTTCTACCCTACGTCTAACTTTTGCATGTTGTCGGACTTTCATCGAACTTCTACCCGACGTAGAACTTCTGCCTATCACCGGACTTTTGCCCATCGTCTGACCTTCGTCGGACTTCTACCTGATGCCGAATTTTCGCCTGTCGTCGGATTTCTACCCGACGCAGGATTTCTGCTTGTCAACGATCCTTCCGATCTCTTTCACCAGATAACAATCTTTCTAATCACTATCGTTCACCGACTACGGTCCTTCCGACCTCCGTTGTCCGCAGAATATGGTCCTTTTGACCTCTGTAGCTAGAAACGGTCCTTCCGACCCCTGTCGCCCTTCAACCTCCATCGCCAGATAATGATCTTTATGACATCCGTCGTCCACCGACTACGGTCCTTCCGACCTCCATCGTCAGACAATAGTCTTTATGATCTCCGTTTCCCACTGACAACGGTCCTTTTGACCTTAGTTGACCGTCGACTATGATCTTTCCGACCTCCATAGCCAAACAATGTTCTTTTTTACCTCTGTTGCCTACCGATTATGGCTCTTTTGACCAACCAAACACGTCAACAATGATTCTTCCTATTTCCACCATGTAACACAATCTATATGATGTATATTTGTTACATCAATCCAAGGCCTTCCCCCAATGTAGGACCACATTTGTAATCGACTTTAAATAATAGTGGATTCATTCAAATTGGGCCAGGCCCCATAGTTTTTCCTCTTTTCAGGGCATTTCATGTAAAATTTTAATGTCTCTTATAAATGTTGCATCATCTCTCTTATCTGATTGCGTGCTAGATCTTCATACAAAACTAATACACTAAACTTTATATTTCTTTGCCGCCGTGAATATTTCAAGACGCATTAAACATATAACTATAAAAAGATTAAATTAATTGGTATAACATAGATTGATAGAGATATAACCATCAAAATGATAAATGATAAGCAATATATTATTATATAATCATTTAAAGGCATTACATCAATAATTATAATTTATGCATGCAACTACAATATTCTTATTACAACAAGAAAAACAATCTTATGAATCATAAAGGTTTCATTTGGGATGGCTTTTTTGCTGCCTCTTAAAACAACTTTTTAGTACAAAAATTAAATTTTTTTTACCAAAAAGATGCTTTAAGAGGCGGCAAAAAAGACGTCCCAAATGCAGGCTAAATAAAGATTGAGCATCTCACCGAATGAATTAGGTCCTCATGCAGAATTTGATTTCTTTTTATAAACCATAAATCTTTCCAAACATCATTGCTTTTCTCTTTTTTTCATCTCTTCATTTTCTTCTTTATCTTTCTTTTCTCATCTTTTTTTTTTAATAAATCCGCAACCATTCCAAATGAATCCTAAGATTTTATTTGGGATAATTTCCTCACTATTTTTTAAATCAACTTTTTAGTATAAAAATTTCCTGAAAACAGTAAAAAAATAGAGAGCAAAGTTTCCACAAAGAAATCTAAGGCTTCATTTGGGACGGCTTTCTTACCGATTATTAAAAGCTACGTATAAAAAATAAAATTTTTATACTAAAAAGCAATCCCAAATGAAACTTAAGTTAGACCAAATTCGAGCAGAAGGGTTGATTGATTTTTTTATTTATATGATTTTTTTTTTTAATTTTAATTTTGGTGCATCGCTATGATGAAGACAGGATTTACAGGTGAGAATATACTAATTGTCAACTTATCATCCTTATGATGACAATCATTTTATAACTTATTAGCCTTGAAATGACTTGATCTTAATCATTAATTAATTAATTAATCAATCAATTATGAGCTGACGTGATCAAAATGTGCAATTTTTAACATTTTTGTTGAAACCAAATAAAAATAAATTCATTTATTTAAAGATGAATTTTAATTATATAATATTAAATCAAAATCAAGAAATTA